ACTATACATAGTACACACAAAACAAAATTAACATTGACTAGCCATGATACAACTACTACTAATAAAATATAATAAAGAATTGTGCAAAAATAGAAAATGATGTTTTGTTTCAGAATCCGACATTAGGAATCAGAAATGAAAAATCAAAAAGAATGTGTAACCTGAAGACTGAATGCAACTAAATGTTTAAAATCAAATGATATATTTGAAATTTACTGCATTAATTTTGTTTAGAATGTCAATGATTTTTATTTGTGTCAGATTAAAATAAAAATAACTTAATGCTTTTTCCTTCAGTCACAGTGTAATCTGCTGTCTCGTGTCCCTGAAAGAATGCAGTAAATTAGTTTACCAGATAAAAGATGATGTTTGAAAATGTGGTCCATTAGCTCACCGTGAATCCCAAACATCACCAACATTAGAAAGGAAAAGTGCAGAAAAGGATGTAATGAAATAAAAGGTTACGAATGCTTTTAGCTTTGATTAAAACACAGCGTTTCCATGGAGACGTGACGATATGAGTGGCCCTTGATTCGAGACGACCACGTCTGGAGCTGAGGGAGAAAAAAACTGCCCGTTTTCTGAAACAAATCGATCAAAAGGCCGTAAAACAAGGAAAAATGGCCAGAAAATGGGGACAATAACTTCCATCAAACCGTGACACTGAAGACACTTAAGGGGCAGAAAACGAAGTAAACAAACTTCAGAGGACACCTTGACTGTTTTCCCATCAGCAGCAAAAGAACCGAATCAGCTGTTTTCACTTCAAATTTACATGAAATCACTCTGACTGTGGTTCTGATCTCCTGCAGGGCTTTAAAGCCTCTGGTGCTGAATGCATCACCGTACAAAGAAACACACTTCTTGATGTTTGGATTTGAGCTAATTTACCAAAAATGAAATGATAGTCTTTAGAGGTCTTAACTCTAAACAACTATAAATTTGTTATGTATTAGACAAATTTATAAAGCAAACAATCTAAGAGTGTGTTGAAGCGTTGCCACTAAAACCTCTCAGAACAGTATTTTATTTCAACTAGATGCACAGTCTTCAAGTTATGATCATGTCCCTAAAACGTCAAAAGCTCCCTCATCAGTATGCAGTGTTTTTCAGAGGCAGCAGAGCTGAACAACATGCTCTCAGTTTTCTGAGGGTGCATCTGATTTGGACTGGAGTGATTTGTCCTAATTCAGTCTGCAATGCTCATGACGTCTGGAATTATTTTAGGAAAAGTTGGTCAGAGCAGATATTTATGCATCTTCCAAAAGCAATGCGGAAAAAGTGGAAACCTGTCAATTATCAATAAAGCGGTGGCATTATGTATTTTCCAGGTGTATAGTTTGATTCTGTACCACAATCAAGTCACTATGTTACCTTCAGCTGTTATGAAAATGGTCAAGTTTACTTGACTTTGCATCATAGCCTAGACATGTAAATGCTTTGGAATTGGCCTCTGTCTCTTTAAAACCTTCCTACTGTTTCAGACACTCCCACTTCAGCACATGAACAACAATGCTTCAGGGGAGGGGCGCTCTGTGGGGCAGGAGCTCCACTGCAGACTGAACTCCAGGGAGGAGCTTTGTACAAATAGGCGGGGTGAACTCTTTCATTTTTCTAAAACATTATTAGCTGCTTTAACACTTTTCTCTAGCTTTTAGCTAACGGTTTGCTACTTTTGACATTTAGCTAACCTTTTGCTTCTTTTACCTTCAAATCACACTTTTGGTATTTCAGCTAAGTTTTGGCWACTTTAAACTTTTAGCTAATCTTTTGCTCCTTTTAGGTAGCCACTTATTTAACTTTAGCTTTTAGCTGACCTTATTTTCTGCTTTTTTCCCCACTTTAAGCTTTTATATGGTGTTCCACTACTGATTTTGTTTATCTTAGCTGTTGCTAACGTTTTGATTCTTTTCACCTTAACAACTCAGTTTCAGCTATTTTTCAGCTAAATTTAGCAGATTTTGTTTTTAGCATTCACCCAACTCCAGCTTCATGTTTGAGCAGACCATTGGAGGAAAATTCTTGGCTCTTATTTGCGCAGGTTCATCGAGCCATCTTACCTTCAGTGGGAGCACTGGTTGGAGGCTGAGAGGTGAAAAGTGAATCTTTGTCTCCAGAGTCTTCTTTACCCCTCAGTGTTGTTTGGTTTATAACAGCGGTGAACGGGTACAGTTGTGTTGTGTCCGTTACGTCACACAGTTTGTCTTTGGTCTGAACAACAAAGAGAAATTTAGTTTAATTTTTTTTTTGTTAAATCCTAATAAATGTGAAGTTCATCACGTGGAAGGCAACAAAAGCAATTAGTTGAATCTTTTGGATGAACACGTCATTTWACTGGATGTTCACCTCATCAGGGCAGCTGTTGTCCACCCAGTCCTGGCGATGGCGGTCAAAACCACTGGAACATCTGAGAGCAAAGGAAACAAATGTCAGTTAAAAACAAAAAACAAACACAAAAAGAAAGTCATTATTACAGTTATTTGGTTAAATAATAAGAAGCTGGAGAGCCACCAAGATCAGATACATTCCTTCTCAAAATAATAATGACTACAACATTTCCTGTCAGCACATTCAGCAGTAGGTGGTAGAAATAAAACAATATCTATTAAGTCTAATATGCATGTGTCTTTTGGYGTAAGGCCTAATTATGCATGATTTGCTCTTATTGATAAAGAACAAAAGAAGCAAATCTTTACATTTGTAAAACAAACAAACCAAAAAAGAAAAAAAGGAACAGAAATACATTTAAATGAGCTAAAATCCTCAAAATCGTTACTGGCCACAATAACCGTAGTTTTCAAGTTATTCTGAAATTTTGGTCTGAAAAAACAAAACAAAAACTTATGTAACAAAATTTTTATTTAAAATCTGCCTCAGTGAGAGCCCTGACTTTTACCTCTCATGCAAACCTTTTGCCCAGGGGACCTCAAAACCGAGCACAGATAAAAATATTTAGAAGTTTAGTAAAATCCACACAAGTAAAAACAACCAATGTAGATTGATAATATCGGAACAACACAGTTTAAATCATCATATGTGAGCTGCAAGAACAATAGTTCTCTAAAAAAAGCCCCATTTTCTCTAAAGAGCACATTGTTATGATGATGAAACTATGTGCCCGAGTCCATCTGCTCAATCAGGCGAGGAGGGTCCCTTTGTTTAATCCCTCACTTTTCTGCCACCGTGTTCTCCCTGAGGATGCAGCGAGGGAGGCAGAGTGAGGCGCCGTTTTATCGAGCAGGTTCGGTCCAGCCCGTCCCCGAGGGGAGCCCGTGTTTTGTTCCTTCTCAGTGGCATTCATCTCAGCTAGTTGCCATCTAACGCAATGAGCCACGGTGCATTTAATTAGGACCGGGCTGAGGAGCTTCGTTTGAATATAAATGAGCCCGTGAATGTTTCTGTTCACAGTCCCAACGCAACAAACAGATTGTGTCATTTTAGTCTCTCCTGCTCCACAAGACATTCACTCAGGTCTTCCATGATGTAGTTTTAAATTCATGATCAAAGAAAATCAATCCTGGGTAACTAGTTCAACTATTGGATTTTTTTGACTCTTAACAAAAAAAAAAAAAAAGCCGTTCTGAGAAAATGCAGAATTACTGAATTGGAAATAAACGAATTCAGACACTAAACTAGAAAAACAGTAGCTAAAAGTTAACATTAGTAAAACAGTAAATAGAAGCAGAAATTAACAAACACTAACCGAAAGCTAAAATATATTTTAGGTTGGTTTTTGCCAAAAGCTAAGGAATACAAAAAAGTAGCTAAAGGCTAAAACAAGCAAAAAAGTATGTTAAAACTAAAAACCAACAAAACAGTAGCTTAAAGCAAAAACTGGCAAAACCTGAAGTAAACTGTAACTTTATGATTCACTAATCAGTGTTTATTGTTCTACATGTAGATGATGAGCTGAATGCTCTCTGCATCACGACATGCAGGCTGTTTTTGCTCATTTTTGTTT